TTGGGTGGTGAAGTTAATTCTTCACCCACTTTGAGCTCTGCAAAGAGGTACCTGGAGCCTTGAACTGAACCAAAGCTGCTTAACATGTGTTAGTGGGGCAGTAGGAACACTGGCAGGCAGGGCTGCTCCTCAGAGGGACCTCACTAGGCTGCAAGGAAGCCCCCAAAGTTCAAATACAAAGCCCTGCACCTGGGATGGATGAGCTCCAGTGGCCAGAAAGCAGCTTTGCTGAAAAAATCTTGCAGCAACCTGGTGGGCGAGTGGAGCAGTGGCACAAATCTGCAGTGGAGATGGTCAAACACCTCCTGTGTGGTGCAAGATCACAGCCAGAAGGTCTGGGGAAGGGATCCCACGGCTCCACCTGGCACCTGCAGTAGCACACCTGGGAGCTGGTGTTCACACTGGGGTCCCCAGGAAAGAAAGGCACAGAGTCACAGGAGTCCAGCAAGACAGTCAGGGGCTGGAGCATGTGCTAAGACATACAAGGAGAAGCTGGTGCCTCTCCTTGGGGAGGAGATCCTTATGCCAACTCAAGACACCCAACAAGAGGTTACAGAGAGGACAGAGCCAGACTTTCCTCGAAGTTTTGCACTGATGGGACAAGAAGCAGGGGATAAGCTGCAGTAAAAGAACTTCTGCCTTAGTTATTAGAGCCAAAGGTTCACCCTGTGGGTGGTGACACCCTGAACATGGGGCCAAAGAGGGGGCAAAGTAGATACCCAAATCTCCACTGGATGTGGCCCTGAATGACTTAGCTGGTCTAAGGGATCTGCTCTTAGCAGGGGCTGGGCTAGAGACTTTCTGGGGTCCCTTTTCCCTTCATCATGCTGGCTGTTCCCTGCAGGACATCCCCCACCCCCAGGGGCCCAGCATGAGGACCCCCCTACACTGCCCCTTATCACCACCCCGTGCTCAGTAACGAACTGCAAGCACGTGACTCTGTTACCGATGAGATAAAGCACAGCACAGACCACAGCAGGAGCCCACAGCTGTATTACAGAAACTGTGGGAGGGAAGCAAGAGGATTTCCAGCCCCCAGGGCCCTCTTGGCCCTGGCACACTCTGCCAAGAAGCCCCTGATACCAGCCTGGGTGCAAAGACAGCTCCAGGCTGTCATCAGGTCCCTGTCACAGGAAACCCCGTCACTGGTTATGGCAGCGAATGGGGGATGAGCTGAAAGACTTTTGAAATCCCCCTCCTCTGACACACAACCACAGCTGAGACAGGCTCCCAGACAACTCAGCATCATCCCCAAAACGCTCCAGGGCAGGAGAGAACAGGCTCATAACAGGGGAGAGGGGCTCACCTCCAGGCCTGTAATGGGGGAGAAAGCATCAGGACTCTCCTCGAGGTGTCACCACTCAGCTACAGTTTTGGTTCCAGACTGCCACTCCAGGGCACAGCTGCTCCTTGACCCTCACCTGCACGAGGCTGGGAGATGCCATTATTGCCCTGGCCTTCCTCCAGGCACCCTGTCCCACATGTCCCCTCTGCAGAGGAGCAGTGCAAGGAAAAAGCGCTGCCACAGTCCCTGACGGTGCGAGCACCCAGCAGAACACTTCCTAAAACTCCTCTGTCCTGCTACCACCTGAAGGCAGTGGCTCTCCAGGGTCCCAACAGCAGGGACAAGCAGCCTCTCTGCTGGTACCCTGGGGTGTAGTATCTGCAGCCCACCTGCCAGGAATCAGGGCTCACCCAGCAGAATTCTCTTTTTCCCCTCCTCCCACCGAGTTTTTTTGATCGCAGCCCAGCCACTAAGGCTGCATTTTGCATCCTGTTACTTGAGAGTAACGAGGCCAACAACACCCAGAGATGCAGAATAAACACACCAGGATTAAGAAGGACGAGCTGCTCAGCAGCAGCAGCCTATTCCAGGCACCCTCTGGTGCAGGAGCATTGTACCAACCCCAATGTCAAGGCATTTCAGCACAAATGTCTTTGATGGTAGTGAAGAAGAAGAGTTCTTTGTCAAAAAAGGCCTAACGACAGAAATTGGCTGCTCTTACTAAAATTGTCCATCCATTTTCCAGCCTGAGAACTGACACAAATGGCTTGAGAACACAGGTAAAAGGACAGCCCACAGCAGGAGTGATGCTCAGATGTATAGGCAGACTCTCAGTTCTTGAGATGCTCAAGGGACTGGAAAGTCCTGGTGAGAGGACGAAGGCTTAGTCAGGTCTGAAACAGCGCTCAACTGACCCCAAAACCAGAGATGACCTCAAGCACAGCCCTGTAGCATCCCCTCCACGGTCACAAGTGTGTTTATCCACCCCCTCCTCACCTCCTGCCCTCAAGCAGGTCTCTCTCAGCTGTTCAGCTGGGGAGCTGCAGCCCCATGTTTCCTTTGGCTGCCTTAAGATCACTTTCATTTTCATTAAACAAGCACATGAGAAAGGGAAGAAGCTCCACCGGGGACATTTTACTGTGTTACCACAACCCACGTTTTCGTCTCCCTAAGCAGCTCCAGCCTCTCTTTGTTCCTCTGCCAAGGCTGTCCTGCCCTCCCACTTCAATCCATGACTCCACGGCATCTGGGGCAAAGGGAGAAGCAGCTGCCCTGCGCTGAAATGTAACCCCCAGTGCTATGGTGACAACCCAGCCAGGCCAGTGCCACTGCCAGGCACAGCTCTGGCCAGGGATTCCCTCTCCTCCTTTGCCAAGGAAAACGCCAAGCGGTGCCTTGTCAGCAGCTGGGACCTGAGCTGCCTGTGCTGTGCAGGGACACAGTGACGACAAATCACATTGTCCAGGCTGAGTCTCCACCTCCAGCTGCCCCTGCTGCAGAAGGGCTGAGGCATTTCTTCCAAGCCAACAGAGAAACTTTTTCCTAACTGACCTGCAGCCACGGGATCTGGTTAATCCCTGTTCTAACACCCTGCAGACCCGCAGGATTCCACACATGCTGTGAATACACGGGGCCTGTTGTGCTGCCCAGGAGGATTACTTTTATTTTCTCCCCAGAACAGCTGCCATGGCACAGGTGTCTCCTTCCAGACTCCATTCCCCACTCCCACAGCACTCCACGAGGCTCTTCCAGCTTAACGAGCCCTGAATTTCCCTCTAATTAGCTGGCTGTTCTGACTTGCCCAGGAGCAGGGCAGCACGGAATCGTGCTGCACGAGACATCCCTGCCAACAGCTGCCAAAAGCTGGCACTGCTCCTCCCTATCCCAGCTCAAGTCTCCCAGAGAACCTCATGGAAAATCCAAGGACGTCACCCCGAGACAGTCCCCCTCACACCTGGTGTGGACACAGAAGTGCTCCCTGGACCCAGCCTGACATCCCACCCACATCACAGCCCAGCCCAGCCTGCCCAGCCTCAGCTTTGCTCTGCAGCACGTGCCAAGTGCCTCGCTGTTCTTCACTGATGGCGTGTGGAGGGGAGACTGCCAGGCAGGCAGCCCGAGGGGGTACACAGGAGAGAAGTTCTCCTCGCCTAATTACCCAAAATTAATTTGCCTGAAAGTCCAGGCCCATTCTGGACTTGCTTTTTGCTCGTGTAGCCCCACCAATCCTGCACGATGCCCTCCACACCAGTGTCAGATGCTCCTGTGTATTGGGCTCAGCCTGTTGATCTGGGCAGCAGCACGTCAGGCAAGGGGCTCTCACAGAACGATGCTTCTGGCAGAAATAAATTTAGCAGAGATGAATTTTACGTGGGCAGATAGAGATAGGACAAGGGAGAGTGTCTTTAAAGTAAAAGATGAGAGATTTAGATTGCATACTGTGGAAAAATTCTTCCCTGTGAGGGTGGGGAGGCCCTGGCACAGGCTGCCCTGAGAAGCTGTGATGCCCCAGCCCTGGAAGTGTCCAAGGGCAGGTTGGGCAGGGCTTGGAACAACCTGGGCTGGTGGAAGGTGTCCCTGCCCATGGCAGGGGTGGAATAAGATGGTCTTTTAAGGTCCCTTCCAGCCCAATCCAAGCTGTGATTCCATGAATGACGAGAGCAGCCCCAGCGGGCAGGAGCAGGGTCCTGCTGTCAGGGATCACCTCCCGGCAGAGGAGGGGGCAGAGCCGGCCCTGCAGAGCCGGGGGGGTCCCGATCCGTCCCCGCCGTGTGCGGCCCCCCCGTGCCGGGCCCTGCTCGCCCCTGCCTCGGTGCCGCGCTCAGTTTTCCTCCCGCGAGTGCCCCGAGCGCCCCGGCCGTGGCTCCCTCCCCGCCAGGCTCCGCTGTCCCTCCCTGGGGGAGCCCCCGCCGCCCCCGGGGCTGCTCGGGCAGCCGAGCCCCGACACGCCCACCCAGCCCGGGAGCGACGAACACGGTTAAACCCCACCGAGGACGGAGTGGGGCGCGGACACGACCCCGACCCGCGGCCCCAGTCGCCGCGCGGGACGGCACAGACCCCGCCACCCCCGCTCCCGGTGGCGGTACCCACCTGCCGGGCGCCGCCCGCCGCCCCGGGGCCGGTGCCGTTGAGCAGCGGGGTGGTCTCTCCCGCACGCCCGTCCTCGTCGTCGTCGCGGTCGCGGCCGGACCAGGACACCTTCTTGGCGACGTTGGCCATGCGGGGCGGCGGCGGCGGCTCCCGCACCGGCCCCGGCCCTGCCCCGCCGCCCGCTCATGTGACCGCCGCCGCCACGTGACCGCCGCGCCGGCCGGGGCGCCCCGGGGCACCATGGGAGTTGTAGTCCCTCCGCCCCCTTTCCCCCCGCCCGGCCCTCCCTCGGGGAAGGGGGCACCGGGATGGATCGGGACGCGGTGACAGCGGCCCAGGAAGCCGCGGGTCCACCGCAAGGCTCTGTCCCAGCACACCCAGCCGCCCCCGGGAACACGAGGCTGCGGGAACACGGGGCTCCAGGAGAGCCCGGAGCAGGGGCTGCTCCAGCTCTCCGGACACAGAATTCAGCAGGGCGGCTTTTTGGCACCCTATGTTCTTCACCCGAGCACCCCCGGAGCAGCACGGACTGGCCCAAAGCCCTGCCCGGCCAAGGAGCCCCGCGGGCGGGCGCAGCGCTCGGGAGCGGCGGCAGCGGCTCCGGCCCCGCCGGCTCACCCCGGTCACGGGCTGTCCCGTGCTCCGCTTCCCCTGCTCTGACTCAGGGGCAGGGGACGAGCCGGGTCACCCACGCGTGACCCAGCCTGGGCTCCGGCTCCTGCCGGGCTCCGAGTGGCACCGAGCGCTACAGTGAAGAGCAGGGCAGAAATAAGGAGGTTTCTGCACTGTCCGGAGCATTTTAATGGGAAGGATGGGCCGTACATCCTCCGGGAGCAGGCCACCTCCGGCTTTGGTCCCACCTGTGCCATACGGGTCGCCAAGGCCCCTTTCTCTTTATCCCACCTCCGGTGGTCCCGCTCCTGGGATGTTCTCTCTGCCGGGTGTCCCATCGATCCGGGAGGATCCACCTCGGCATCAGCACCATGAGCCAGCCGTGACCGCTGGGTGCCGGCACCATTCCTGCTGCCAGGCTCGTCACGGGCAGTGCTGGAGGCAGGGACACGCCACCCTCCGCACCCCGCCCCGCAGGGAGGCATCGCCCAGCGTGAGGAGAGGGCCGCGGGGCAGCCCCCGCCCGGTTGCCATTCTGGCCACCTCCCCGGGCAGCAGAGCCCGTCTCCAGAGAGCGAAGCCAGCCAGGTGACCCACAAAATTTCCTGCAGTGCCCAAGTCCCTGCTGGGGCCTTCCTGCTCCCAGCCCAGCACCAGCGAGCCCCCAGCGGGAATTTCATAGCCCTGCTGGAAGCCGGAGCCGGCGGCCAGCAGCCGCCTGTCCACGTAGAAGCGGTACCGGCCCTGGCCGGAGGACCAGGTGAGGCACAGGTGGTGCCACTCGCCACCCAGGAGCGGCTGCACCGGCAGCTCCCGGAACTGCCCGTCCCCCAGGATGAAGCGTGCTGAGCCGCGGACATCCCCGCCACGGCCACGCAGGGCCAGCTCGCTGCGGCCCGACTGGGTGGAGTAGGAGAGGAGGGCACCGAGGCGAGGGGCTGGAGTGGCCAGCCAGGAGCAGAGCGACAGTGCCCGCAGCCCCCGGTGAGGCCCCAGCGCCAGGACAGCCCCGTGCCCCGCGGAGGTGCTGGGGAAGAGCAGCACGACACCGGCCCGGCAGGCAGGGGAGGTGGGCACCGGGGAAAGGGGGCCGTACCTGCCCTCCCCTGGCTGCTGGAAGGCTGGGGGCTGCTCTCGGGGGACCGTGGTCACGGTGGGGAGCAACACTGCCGTGGGCTGGGGTGCCGGTGCTGCATCACGAGGGGTCTCTGCATGTTCCGTGGGTGCTCCGCCAGGCCTGGCATCAGCCGGCAGCCAGTGCCCTTCCTCCTGCCGGCGCTGCTGCCACCGCCTCGTCTTTGGGCGCCGAGGGCCGGGGGTGCTGGGGGCAGCCTGGCGCGATGGCTCCTGCTTCAGGTGGCTGTCCCGGCTCCGGGCAGTGTCCAGCAGGCCGTGTGGCTTAGTGCCAGTCTCCACCGGTGCACCCGGTGCGTGGGTGGCCGGGCGGTGCGGTGGGCTCAGGGCACTCACTGTCCTCTCCAGCCGCTTCAGCCGGCGGTGCAGCCGCCGGCCAGTGGTGGCCAGGCGGGCCAGCTCGGCACCCAGGGCGGCCCGGGCAGCGACAGCCGCCTCCGCCTGCTCCGCCAGCGCCTGGAAGCGCCCATCGATGTTGTAGGAGATGTTGTAGTTGCTGGCGATGCTCTGGAGATGGCTCAGCGTCACCTCCTGGAGCCGGAGAAACTGCAAGGGAGTGGGATGAGGTGGGGTGAGCCCACATCCCCATGCCGGGTCCCTGCCAAACCCAAAATGCCCCGTGTCCCGCTGGCACAGGCTGGGCAGCACCTCCTCCCCTCCGCTGCACCCACCTGCTCCTCCAGGCGCCGCAGCCGCAGGATCAGGGGGCCAGGGCGCGCCAGGGGTCCCGGCGCCTGGGTCAGGCCACCCTGCAGGGTGACAGCGAGGATCAGGCAGAGGGGCAGTGCCATCCCCGCCATCCCGCTGCAGGACGCTTTCTGCCTGCGCGGCACGGCCGTCCCTGGCCCCCGCGGTGCCCCCCCGGGGCAGCCCCCACCATGATGAGATCTGCAGCCACCGCTGGCACGGCCCTGCACCGGGGCTCCCAGCCCCCGGCCCCGGGCCAGCGCTCTGCGGGGCGGCTGGCCACGGCCCAGAGCTCCCGGGGCTCCGGCGTTCCGGGCAGGGACTGCTCGGCTGTGGAGTGAGAGAAGGTGTATGGGGACCCTGGGCACATGGCTGGATGCAGGGCAGGGAGGACAGGGAGGCAGTGCAGGCAGTGCAGGCAGGAACGGCAATGCGGGCAGGACAGAGGTAGAATGGTGCAGGCAGTGCTGGCACGGTAGGGTGGTGCAGGCAGGACAGGGCAGGCAGCGTGGGCAGGGCAGGCAAGGCAGGCAAGCAGGGCAGTGCAGGCAGCATGGGTAGGACAGGCAGTGAGGACAGGATGGGCAGCACAGGCAGTGTGGGCAGGCAGAGCAGTGCAGGCGGGCAGGGTAGGGCAGAACAGTGTAGGCAGTGCAGTCAGTCAGTGCAGGCAGTGCAGGCAGGGCAGTGGTGTCTGTGCAGTCTGTATGGGCAGTGCAGGCAGGGCAGCAGTGTCTGTGCAGTCTGTATGGGCAGTGCAGGCAGTACAGGCAGTGCAGGCAGGGCAGTGGTGTCTGTGCAGTCTGTATGGGCAGTACAGGCAGTGTGTCTGTGCAGTCTGTACAGTCAGTGCAGGCAGGGCAGGCAGTGCAGGCAGGGCAGTGGTGTCTGTGCAGGCAGTGCAGGCAGGGCAGTGGTGTCTGTGCAGGGAGGGCAGGCAGTGCAGGCAGGGCAGTGGTGTCTGTGCAGGAGTGCAGGCAGTGCAGGCAGGGCAGTGGTGTCTGTGCAGTCTGTATGGGCAGTGCAGGCAGTACAGGCAGTGCAGGCAGTACAGGCAGTACAGGCAGTACAGGCAGTGTGTCTGTGCAGGCAGTGCAGGCAGGGCAGTGGTGTCTGTGCAGGCAGTGCAGGCAGTGCAGGCAGTACAGGCAGTGTGTCTGTGCAGGCAGGGCAGGCAGTACAGGCAGTGGTGTCTGTGCAGGCAGTGCAGGCAGTACAGGCAGTGCAGGCAGTACAGGCAGTGTGTCTGTGCAGGCAGTGCAGGCAGTACAGGCAGTACAGGCAGTACAGGCAGTGGTGTCTGTGCAGGCAGTGCAGGCAGTACAGGCAGTGCAGGCAGTACAGGCAGTGCAGGCAGGGCAGTGGTGTCTGTGCAGTCTGTATGGGCAGTGCAGGCAGTGCAGGCAGTGTGTCTGTGCAGGCAGTGCAGGCAGTGGAGGCAGTACAGGCAGTGTGTCTGTGCAGGCAGGGCAGGCAGTACAGGCAGTGGTGTCTGTGCAGGCAGTGCAGGCAGTACAGGCAGTGGTGTCTGTGCAGGCAGGGCAGGCAGTACAGGCAGTACAGGCAGTACAGGCAGTGGTGTCTGTGCAGGCAGGGCAGTGGTGTCTGTGCAGGCAGTGCAGGCAGTACAGGCAGTACAGGCAGTACAGGCAGTGTGTCTGTGCAGGCAGTACAGGCAGTACAGGCAGTACAGGCAGTGTGTCTGTGCAGGCAGTACAGGCAGTACAGGCAGTACAGGCAGTGTGTCTGTGCAGGCAGGGCAGGCAGTGCAGGCAGTACAGGCAGTGTGTCTGTGCAGGCAGGGCAGGCAGGCCCACCACGTGGGGGCAGCACGTGCGCGCAGCAGCACCGACGGTGGGCGGAGCTTTCAGCCAATGGGCGGTGTCTTCGTGCAGTGGGCGGGGCCTGAAGCGCGGCACTGCCGGGCCGTGTGCCGCTGGAGGGGCGGGGTCTCCCCAAGCCCCGCCCCTCGCCCCGCCCCGTACCCTTGAGGCGGCAGAAGATGGCGGCGGCGCCGACCCTGGCCCGGCGGATCGCCCGCTCAGGTGCGCCCGGACCCCGCCCCGCCCGCGCCCTGCCCGGGCTCGGCCTGGCCCCGACACCCTCCTGTGCTCCCCCGCGCCGCCAGGGTGCCCCCCGCTGTCACTCCGCGGGTGCCCCACGTGTCCCCCGCTCTGGGTTGGGGTGCCCCTACATCCTTCTTCAGCGGGTCATGGTGTTCGCCGTGTCCCCCATCGTGGGATGGGGTGTCCCTCTATCCTCCCTCAGTGTGTCAGGGTGTCCCCGTGTCCCACCTTGTCCGTGCAGAGCGGCTCTGGGGAGCGCGCCTCACACCCGTGGGGGCCGTGCCCTGCCTGTCCCTACCTGTCTGTGTCCCCCAGGTGTGCTGTCCCTGCGCTGCCGGCCCCCATCGTGGGACAGGGCCGCCCTGCAGCCCCCCGGGCTCACGCTCGCCCCATGTCGTGCCTTCAGCAACAACAAGATCCAGGTGGATCTGGACGAGAGCTCAGGTACGGTGGTGCGTCACCCTCGACCCGTGGGCACCGTGGGGCACTTCCATCCCTGTCCCGTGCCGCCCTGGGCATGGAAAGCCACCAAAGCCCCAGGTGTTCCAGCTGCAGCTGCTTGGAGTGAAGTGTTTGGGGTCAGGAGCCTTGCTGGGTGTGGGCTCTTCGCGTGGCTGGTGCTGCTGGGGTGCCACAGGCCAGCCCTGGCTGTCACTGTCACCATCCCCTCTGTGGGGTTCCTGCTCTGGGCACCTGGTAGAGTGGCAGTGCTCCTTCAGGGAACAGCTGTTGGGAATTTCTGCTACCAGGAATAGCTGTCATGAGACCACAGTCCCTGCACTGAACAAAGGTGCCTCTTCTTGTGGCTCCCCTGCTCCTGCCTTCAGGCCCGTGGGTGTGTCCTCACACTGTGCCCATCCTGGGCATGGCATGGCTGCAGCACCCAAAGTATGCATTTGGGGAGGACCTTTTGGGGCAGGGTAGGGCCGTTTGGGAGGGGACAAGGGCTCAGAGCCCTTCCCGCAGTGCTGGCAGGCTCAGTCAGGTTTGTGATCCCCCGGGCAAGGCTGTTTACTGGGACAAACATACAGGCTTGACCTTACCTGTTGAGCCCAGAGAGAAGGGAAGTGTTGAGCAGCGTGACCCCGAGGGGCTTTGGGACACGTGAGGTGCCACCACACGTGTCCTGGTCCGTGCTCCAGGTCCATCACTGGCTGAGTGAGCCCAGCTCACTGGGCAAAAGCAGGACCTTGCCCTTGGCCCTGCAGCTCTGGGAGCTTTTTAAAGAGCCAGGAGTGGGAAGACACGATCAGGTGGGCAGGGAAACAGGGAGGCAGGTGAAAGCTACCCTGGGCAAGGCATTGTGTGCTGCTGTGCTGGGCAGTCTGATATCTCTGTGTTAACCCTGGCACAGGCGTTGCCATGATGAAGTTCAAGAGTCCCCCGGTGAACAGCCTGAGCCTGGACCTCCTCACTGAGTTTTCCATAAGCCTGGAGAAGTTGGAGAACGACCGTGCCTGCCGGGGTGTGATCATTACATCCGTAGGTGTTGTCCCTTGCTCGTGTTTGGTCTCTGGGGTCACTGGGACAGGAGGCAGCTTTGATTGGCTCTGGGAGGAGGGGAGGCGGTTCTGGGAAGGGCTGTGATCTTCCTTCCGTGCCCCCTTCTGGCAGAACAACAGCCAAATGTTGTCATTTGTCATGCAAATCAAAGCTGCTTATCTGCCAACCTGACACATCCCGTGAGATCTCCTGGAGGAGATGCCAGTGTTTTATTTTCAGGCACGGTGTGGGGAGGAGGTGGTGCCTGGGAGTGGGACAGGGCAGGTTTTGTGCTGTGTGGCTGATTGTATCCACACAGGGACCCTGACAATGAGAAATTGTGCTGCAGGCAGAGTCCCAGCATTGCAGGCCATGGTGCTGGGATGATCCAGGCTGTGGGAGAACTGGGAAGATACTTTCAGAACCCCAAAAGACCCTCATATCACATATAATTATCACTTTCCTCAGGCTGCCATGCCGAGGGCTACAGGCTGACAGTGACTCTAAGTGATGTCTGCATTTTCCCAACTCCAGGCTATCCCCAAAATATTCTCCTCTGGCCTGGACATCATGGAGATGTGTGGGAAGAACGTGGAGCACTACGGGGAGTTCTGGAGAGCCGTGCAGGAGATGTGGCTGCGGCTCTACGGCTCCAACATGGTCACGGTCGCTGCAGTCAATGTATGTCCTTTGGACCCACCTCCCTCGTCACCTGTCACCTGCTGCGGCTTGTTTGCACTGTGTGGGCAGGGACAGCTGAAAAATCAGGCTGAAAGAAATCCAAAAAATGCGTTTGTTGGGGTGTTTGGGCGAAATTTGTGTCTGTCAGCATGTGGGAAGGTGTGGAAGCGTAGGAGGCTGAAGGCACTGTGTAAGCTGCAGACACTGCTGGGGTATTGCAGCATTTCAGCACTTCCACCAGGTTTTGCTCCTCCAGCTGTGGTTCTTGGCCAGCAGGGAAGTGCTGTTGGAATCTCGGTGTCCGTGGATGGGTCGTTACATGTTTGGTGTCTTCTTTTCATTTTCCAGTGCGGTGCTGCCCTGGCAGCTCCCGGTGGTGTCTGTCCACAGCCCGTCTTTGAAGGCAGCTGGGTCTTCCCACGGGCATCCTGAGCAGGGCTGAGCAGCACCAAGCCGTGGCAAAGATGGTCACAGATGGAAGGGAATCCTCCCCTGGGAGGGTGGTGAGGCCCTGGCACAGGATGCTCAGAGAAATTTGGGCTGCCCCATCCCTGGAAGTGTTCAAGGCCAGGTTGGATGGAGCTCTGAGCAGCCTGGTCTAGTGGAGGGTGTCCCTGCCCATGGCAGGGGGGTTGGAACAGGATGAGCTTTAAGGTCCCTTCCAACCCAAACCATTCTGTGATTCTATGAAACTGATAACCTATCAGAGATCTTTAGGGCTGTTTCAGATCATAAATTTGGGGGACATCTGCTCTGTCACCCAACGTCTTCCCCGCTCTGGAGGGATCAGTGAAGCTGGGGGATATTTGTGTAACCGTGTCCTAGACTCACTCCATCCTTCTGTCTGCCAGGGGTCCAGCCCAGCAGGAGGCTGCCTCATCGCCCTGTCGTGTGACTACAGGATCATGGCAGAGAACCCCAAATTCAGCATCGGCCTGAACGAAGCCCAGCTGGGCATTGTGGCTCCCTTCTGGTAGGCCAGTGCCTCCTGCTTCTAGCGCCACGTGTAGGTCTCTAAAAAGAATTCATCTTCAAGGAGTTAATCAGTCAGTTTAACAGGTCATGGAGGTGTAGTTTGTGTGTCAGTGATCCTGCAGGTAGAGGCAGCTGCAGATGGCGGCACCTCGTTTCTGTCCTGTCCTGCAGGTATCTGAAAAGCTTTCAGGTTGCAGGATGTCCTCATGTCCTTAACTGGCAAGGACCTCAGTTCTGACCCTGCAGTCAACTCCAGAACTAGTGCTGGGGGTTCTCACTGGTCAGGCTCGGTCTGGGAATGTGCTTTTCTCGGGATATTTTGGTGTGTACCTGCAAAATCCCGTGGTGAGGAGATCTCTGAAAGCATAGGGACAGTAACATCCTGAGACACAGGCCCTTGGTTGTCCTAAGAGCATGTAAATGTACTGTTGGAAAGGAGCTTTCACACCAAGTTTGCCCATGTCACAGCCAGTGGGTTCAGCTGGGACCTGTGCACTGAGGGGCAAGTGAGGATCTCTCATGGAGGGGAGAGTGAACTCTGCTGGGGTACTACCAAAAATGGCTCTTCTCCCACGGTTTCCTTGGTGTGGCTGAGCCTGCAGCTGCTGCTCAGAGCCCCAAGCCTGGGGCGTGGGACCAGGGTGCTCTCAGCTCCAGTTGTCTGGGTGAGCTGCCCCTGGATATTTCTTTTCCCTCACCGTGGCTTTCCCTCCCGTCTCCTCCAGGTTTAAGGACACGTTTGTGAATGTTGTGGGACACCGGATCGCTGAGCGCTCCCTCCAGCTGGGCTCCCTCCACCCCGCGCCCGAGGCCCTCCAGCTTGGCCTCGTGGACGAACTGGTGCCCGAGGAGAAGCTCCTGGAAAAGGCTTCGGCCGTCATGGCACGGTGGCTGGCCCTTCCCGGTAAACCTCTGGCAGAGGAGGAAGGGATCTGACCCTGGAGGGAAGGACAGGTGCCAGGGCTGGTACCTGGGAGCTGTGTAACAGTTTCCATTGAAAGGGAAGGTGTGGATGGCTGGGAGGTGGGAGAGCTGAGCACAGCGGTCCTGGCAGCCTTGGACACTGTGCTGGGCGTGCAGGGCACGTGGTTCCAGCTCTGCTCGCCCTGCCAGCCCTGCTGAGTCAATCTGGAGGTGCCTGAGGTCCAGATACAAACTGAATGTGTCTGTCAGTGGAGGTGTTAGCCCAGGAAAGCTGCCATGGAGTTGAGGGAACAGGCTGGGTGAGAGCAACTGGGTGGCTGCCAGTCTGCTTTCCTTGTCTGGATCAACTCTTGGCACTCTGCTGAGCTGGGGATGGCAGTGATGGGGGTGTGAGGACAGACAGACAGCACAGATCCTGTGTGTTTGGGCTGCTCCACGACTGCATCACATGGCTCCTGGGCTGGGAGACGGCTCTCTGCCAGCCCAGGCCAGATCTGAGCTGTCCCATCCCAGACCACCTCTGTCCCCTGCTGTCCTGGTGGCAGTGACACCTCACCCCTCAGTGAGCATGTCTCAGACTTCAGGAGGCTCTGCAGACTCTTCCCCTGAATCAGAGCCAGGAGTCTGTGCAGGAGGAGGTGTCTGCAGCACACGGGTGCTGGAGCGATTCAGGGTTCCCAGCGTGCTGGGGGGTCAGTCACCATTTCACCATCACGGCTGAACTAAACTGAGGGTGTGCATAAAACATCTGTTGCACAGATGTGCTGCCACATCACTGCATCTGGCTCTGTGTGTGAGGTGCTTGAGGCCTCAGTCAGCTCCAGCAGCATCCACGTATCCATGTGGAATGGCACAGGCCCAGGGATGAGCTTGAGGGGACAGTGCTGCTGGCTTTTCTTACAATGTGTTTGGGAGGAGCAGACTGTCTTGCCACAGGTTGAAGGGGTTGGTTGGGGGAGCTTAGAGCCAGAGCAGTTCCAAATAACAGCGAATTTTGTTCGGTTTCTCCTGTCCTGAGGCTGGGGGTGTGTACTGGGACGGGATATTGGGAAGAGGCTGGGCTCTGGAGGGCACAGAGAGGAGGAAGTGCACTTCATCTGTGCCAGGAGAGAAGTCATTTCCCCACTAAGCAGTACAATCATAATTTATTTTATGAGAATTTATCTAGTTCAGCTTCCAGCCAGTGGGATTTTCCTTCACCTTTCCCTGCTGGTTCAAAGAGCCCTTTGCTGTGGGATCCCTCCCCTTTGCACCTGCACGTGGTGGCAGTGGCTGGGAGAGCTGGTCAGGGCTGAGGGACAGGGCGTGCTCCTCATCCTCGCTGTCCTCTCCGCAGACCACGCCCGCCAGCTCACCAAGTCCATGATGAGGAAGGCGGTGCTGGACCGCCTGGTCACTCACCGGGAGGAAGACATTAAGTACTTCATCAATTTCATCTCAAAAGAGTCCATCCAGAAGTCACTTCGCATGTACATGGAGATGCTGAAGAAGAAGAAGAGCTGAGGATCCAACCGCCCCGGGGCGGGTCCTGGGAGGTCAAGTCACCCTCCAGAACGCTGCGGTGGCTGTAGGATTTCACAGCAAAGCCATCTGCAGCGCCAGCAATTGGTGGTGTGCCCTGCTCCCATGGCTGCCCCAGCACTTCCCTTTGTCCTGTAGAGTGCCTGACACCACTGCTGCCTTCCCTGAGAGCGGGGGAAGCCTGCTCAGCCCCCCCGAGGGATGGACAGGGAGAGGGTCTCGGCACGCTGTGGCCTGAGCCCACCGGTCCTTGAATGTCCTCTCTCCTGTCCAACACTTAATCATGAAATGAGGTGTGTCAATAAATCTTCAGTGAGGTAGGAGTTGGATGCTTCGTTCCCCGTGGTCACAGTGTCCTGGCTGGTGGCCTGTCCCCAGGCTCTGCTTGGTGAGGGGCTGGGGGAGCTCTGCCCTGAGCTGTGGGGTCTGGGCATGGCTGGCTGTCACCCTTCTCCAGACCAGGATCCGGAACAGCCATGCACAGGGCTCGTGGATGGGGCTGCAGGGGGTGCCTTCACAGGGGTTGGTGGTGGGAGCTGGAGCTGGAATCGTGGTCTGCAGCTGCAGGAGGAGCTCACACCGTGAGCTTCACCTCGACCGGGTAGTGGTCGCTGACTGCCAGGGCCTGGAGGAGGGCGAGAAGGGGGGAGGTGTGAGTCCCTCACTCCTCACCATGCCAGTGGAGCAGCGGGGCAGTCCATAGCTCTGCCAGAACCTTCTGCCTCCTGGAGGGGATCACAGTGTTCTGAACCCTGAGATACTTGACACCCAGGGCTCCAGTTTTGGCACCTCTCATGGAGAGGCCCAAGCGTGGCCTGTGGTGGGCACTGGCAGGAGGGCACCTGCTCTCTGAGCCCCTCATGTCTCACTTGGGGGTTCTGTGCCAGCATTGCCTCTTACTCTGGAGTCTTGCCTGCACCTGCCCGTGGAAGACCATGAAAACCCCCGTGTGTCTCTTCTCATCCCCACGGGGACAAATCCCAGATTTAGGACAGCGACCCCCAATCCCCACTGCTGTTTCCCCCCTTGGCTTCCTTGTCACCCTGAGCCCCCCAGACAGATGATGGCAGCCCTACAGCCTGGGCCAGCTTGGCTTTGGTGCCTGTTAGATCCCTGGGTTTGTGATCCTGACTCACCTCCTCCTGGTCCAGCTGGAAAGCACGCTGGAAGTTGTAGACAGCAGCCGAATTGGACACGATGCTTCTCTTCAGCTGGGCCCCACACACCACAATCCTGCCAGGGAGATGTGCATGGTGGAGTCCAACTCCTGCCCCCACATCAGCCACTGGTAGGGCAGGGCATGCAGGGGGTCCCTGGGGTGCTGAGGAGGGGGGTGGCAGTGCCATGGGGGTGGTGCTCACCTGTCGTAGGCACAGTCTGACTTGCCCACGGTGGTGTCGGTGCTGTCGGGGATCAGCCACTTGAAGATGTCGCTGGTGCGCAGGCGGATGGTTGACCAGTCGCTGGGCTGGACGTAGGCACAGTCGGCGTTGAAGTCACCCAGGAACATGATGTTCTGCAGTGGGGGAGGTGGAGAGGCTCATGGTCTGGGAATGGGGCTGTCTCTGACACCAGCCCTCCTGGGGGTCAGTCCTGGGTGCCTGGGAATCCCTCATGAGAACAAGGCCTCCTCCCACCAGCCCCGCACCAGCTGCACTTGCCTTGGAGCAGGGACCCAATGTGGGTCAAACAGTCTCAGTGCCCACCCCTGGTGCCACCCCCAGTGCTGTGACACTCACGTCAGTCCCCCACTTGTTGATGATGTCCAGGTAGACGTCGTAGAGCGCGTCGATCTCGGCGACGGCATCGTGTGGGGCGGAGTGCAGGGGCACCAGCACAAACTCCTCCACCTCTGCCAGGGGAGAGGAATGTCAACCCCACAGCCACCCAGTGCCACCGCCCAGGGCCACTTGTCCCCCTGCTTACTGGTGCGGGGCGCTGAGACCCTCAGGATGAACGGCTCCCGGCTGAAGACATCCTGGGGGTCCTTGTACTGGTAGGTGTCCACCACAGACACGACGTCTGTCCTGTGGGAGCAAAGGGATGGTTACCCTGGGGCTCAGCACGGCCTCTCGTGTCCCCTCCACAGTGCTGGTGGCCCTGTGCCATGGCACAGGCGGCAGCAGCCCCAGCCCTGTTACCTGTAGATGAAGAGATACATCTCCTTGTAGTTCTCACGTCCCAGGGGGCCACTGATCTCGTAGTCGTATGGGGACTTGGACACACTGTGGAGATGCAGAGACAGGACGGTGAAGCTGCCACCAGTGACATGGCTGGTACCATCCTGGGTTAGCCTCGGCATGTCCAGGAGCCAGTCCTGCTCTGCTGTCCTGTGGGTCACTGTGCCCTGGCCGTGAGGTGACATGGGGTGTGGTTGCTCTGAACCCCCTCTATGTCCCACCCCAGGGTGGCTCCTCGGGCACAGCAGGACACGGAGTGGCTCCTGTCCCCCCCCCATTTCTCTGTAGGGACACTCCCCACCTTCCTTTGCAGCAGGGCTGAATTAGGTCAGCGAGCAGCCTGGGGCCCTGCAGCGCCCGGCGTCACCCTCCCTGCCCCGGCTGCTTTGTGACCGTGCTGGAGGGGACACCGAAGGGGCGAGGACACGGGCTGGGCGGACCTGCTCAGGAGCGCTCCCAGCTTTCAACACAGCGGCAGCAGCTTCCTCCTGGTCCCGAGCCGTGCCCTTTCCTAAAATGGGGTCAGCACCCAGCCGGTGGAGGGGCTGCCACCCTGCTGTGGCCAGTTTTAGCCCATCCCTCCAGCCCTTATTCCTCCTGGGGTGCCAGAGCCATTCACCTCAGAGTATCACCCACCACTGGGTCCATCCCAGGGTCTTTCTGCCACTCACAGGGTCTTGGGGTGGAGGGTCTGCCTGCCCCCACTCCCTTCATCCCCCCCTCTCACCTCTGCCCTGTTCTGTTGGATTTTGGAGACAGAGCTTGCCAGAGCTGTAGTTCCTTTCCATCCTGCATGCTCGGGTGGGGTTACAGCTTTCAGAAGGGATTTGTAGCACTTGTATCCCCATTCCCCTCACCAGATTATTTGCAATGGTTTTTTTTGCTAAGTGCCCCAGCATTTTCTCCTATTCCCCTTCCCAAAAACAAACTCTGCCGGTGGCTGACCGTTTTATTTTTTGCCTTTTATTGCTCAGGCAGCTTGACTTTCCCTGCTCCTGCTGCCATCCCAGCCCCAGCCCCGCTCGTACCTGTTGAGCTGCTCCATGAGCTCGGTGACGGCGCTGAGGTCGGAGTCGCGCACCTCCTGCACCAACACCACGTCGTAGCGGCGCAGGATCTGCGAGGCCAAGGGGGATGGCGATGGTGGGAGGGAACCTGCTGCCAGCTCAGGGCCACTCTCCCACCCAACCCCCAGCCAGGTACCCTGGCACGGTGCTGGATGCACCGTGGGGACCCGCGTGTCCCTCGGGCCCAGGGCAGATGTCCCCAAGGGGGGCTCAGAGGGACCTGTGTCTGATGCCCCACTGTGGTCCCCACCAAGCCTTCATCCACTCAGGGCATCCCCAGCACTGGGATGCCATCCCATCCTCAGCCACACGTCCTTGGCCACAGGAGCCACGTCTGGGGCTGTCCCAGTGCACAGCCTCCCCCCACGTTGCGCTGGCTGCACTCACGTTGATGATGATCTCTGCCACCTCCTTGTTGGACATCTTGGTGTCACCGAAGGCCTGGATGTTGAAGGCACCGACACGCAGGGTGGCAGTGACCGGGCACAGGAGAGCCACAGCCAGCAGGGACAACGCCAGAGTCACAGTCCCCATCCTGCAGGGAGGGACGCTGAGTCGCAGAGGTGGGAGCTGAACTTGGAAAACTCCTTTGGATTTGCAGTAGAAAAATAAAAGGACAAGCTGATCCTTCCTCAGTCCTGCTGTACAACAGCGTGTCATGAGGGGCACTGCCTGGAGCAGCCTGTGGAGCTGGCACAGGCAGTCTGACAGCTCGCTGGTCCCAGAGAAGATAAATCCCATCCCACCACAGTGAATCCACCTCTTCCAGCTCCCAGGATCACCCAGCTCCACTCCCCGCTGGAACTTCTCCGTCACCCACCAACCCCAGCCACCACTGCTGGCACCCCAGGCTGTTCCATGTCCTTTAACTTCACCACAGCCTCCACTGTCAGGGTTAGGAGCAGCTCCTCACCCCTGCTCATCGCAGCTCATCCCAGTCCCTCCCGGTTCAGCACTGAAGGTGCTGAGCCTGGATCTGTCCTTACCTTGCCAAGTGCGCAGCACCTCTGCCCTCCCGGCAGCAGGACGGGCAGCTTTATTCCCAGTGGAGTTGCCGGCAAAGCAGGATGAGTCGGACACCCCCGTGGGGGTTTTGGCATGACTTTGGGCTCCTTCCCACATTGGGAAACCAGAAATCCCACAGGACAACAGGGTGGGGCCAGCACAGCCTCCCCTGTGCTGACACAGCTAAGGGTAGCCCTGGAGGCTTGACAGGGCTGGAGCATCCCAGTGGGAATGCGTGGGGCACGTGGGACTCGGGGGGCTGCAGCCAACTGGGGTGGCCTCCCAGATCACAGAGCGGGCACGGTGGCCAGGCGGGAGGTGAAGGGCACTGACCTTAATTGGGTGATTCAGCCGGTGTAATTAGAGGGAAGAGGAGGAAATGGCCCGCGTTTGGGTCAGGCGGGTGAGCACCGCCAGCCCCAGCTGCGCACCCCTGCAGCAGCCCTGGCAGTCACCCATAACAGCCCCACCGGTGACCCAAAGCAGCCCCAGCTGTCACCTAAAGCAGCCCCACCGGTGACACAAAGCAGCCCAGCAGGAGTGGCACTCCCCGTGCCAGCCCACGGCATCACCGTAGCCCGCGGCATCGCCCCGGGGCGATGAGGAATCAGGAGGCTCTGACAGGCAGGGACACAGTGGCAGCCCATGCCGGGACTTGCCGGGCTCTCCCAGTGTGACACCAGGTTTTGCATCCTCACACCCAGTCTCGGGATGAGTCCAGTGTCCCTCAGTGCTGTGTCGGTACCGAAACCCCGAAAGCCCCCTGGAAAGCACCGAACCCCCTGGGAACTGACTCACATCCTCCGCCTCCCCCCACCCTCGCCGTCAGTGCCCCGTCAGCCGCCCCGCAGCCAGGCGGGCTCTGTCAGGGTGCGTGGCAAGAGCATCCTGTGCCCTGGAAAGCCTGGAGCCTCCCAGGCTCTTCCCAGTGTCTCTGCTTTTGCTGCAGAAAGAGAAGCAGTGCTTGCCACCCTGTGGGTCCAGGTCCTCCATGGCAGGAGGGTTCCCCAGCCCTGAAGACCTCCCTGGCAGGGGACAGGGAACTTGGGCACCGAGGGCTGCTGGAGAGACTGAAGGGACCTTTCATCCAGAGTTGCAAAGGCTGGAAGAGGCTCATTTTTAATGGAAGCAGAGAGCATCCCACTCCCACAAGGCCCCAAAGAGTGGCTCCTTGCAGAGAGAGCAGGCAGCTTGGCTGGTGCTGGTGGCATGTGGGCTTCCACAAAGGCTGAAGGTGCACACCAGGATGTCCTGGTAGCCACTGGCACAGGGATGGGCTCAGCGAGCTTTCAGGGTCACCTCCACAGGGAAATGGTCACTGACGGCCAAAGCCTGGGTGGGAGAGAAAGCAGAGAGGGCCTGAGCTCATCCAGACACTGGGACGGCTGGCTGAGACCCCAACACTCCTCTCCAACCCCCAAATTTAGACTGTACCCCAAACTGCTCAGTCTGGGGGCTTTGATTCAGTGCAAGACTTGGGGTCAGGCCACCATGGGGTGTGCCCAGAGGAACAAGGAGCCCACCCACCCTCCCAGGAGGTATCCTGGGGTAAATCCCAGTGTTAGTGTGCCCATGTGCCCTGGCCCCTCACTCACATCCTTGCTCTGGAGGTGGAATTTCTTCTGAAAGTTGTTGACGGTGGCGGAGCCGGGATCGATGCCTTGGCGCAGGGCGGTGCCGCAGGCGACGATGCTGCCGGGGCAGCACGGGGGTGTTAGTGCCTGCCAGCCCCCCGTGCCAGCCCCTTCCCTCCCCCCGCAGCACCCACCGGTCGTAGGCGCAGTCGGTGTCGGCCACGGTGGTGTCGGCGCTGTCGGGGATGAGCCACTCGCAGGCGCGCAGGGAGCGCAGGCGGATGGACGGCCACTGCGAGCTGGTCACGTAGGAGCAGTCGGCGTTGAAGTCACCCAGGAAGAGCATGTCCTGCAGGGCAGCACGTTGTGTCCCTGCCCACGGACCTTACGGGTCAGCAGGGGCTCCCTAAATCCTTAAGGGGTGCCAACAATCCCCCTGGGGCACTGCAGTGCACAGGGACAAGCCCCCTGTAAGGGCAGCGGAGACACCCAGCAGCTCCCTGCCTGGGCATTGCTGGGGTGGCACCCTCTCTAATGGGTACAAGAGGCCTCCCATGAGACAAGTCCATCCACCTGTCCACCCAGCTGTCCTCAGAGAGGACCTGAGCTCGCTTACATTAGTCCCCCACTTGTTGATGACGTCGGTGTAGACGTCGTAGAGCGCGTCGATCTCTTGCGCTGCATTGCTGGGCTCGGAATGCAGGGGCACCAGCACGACCTCCTGCAACTCTGCCAGACAGGTGGCTGTCAGCCCCCACCTCGGCTGCAGCAACTGAGAAGGGAGCAGAAACCCCGGGCACCACCCCAGGCCAAGCCCCAGCTACAGGCTGGGAAATGCTGCTGCAGGGAAAGGGTGTTTGTGGTGGTGTGCGTGTCCTCCAGACTGGAATTTCCTGTGGGGAGCTGCATCCATTTGTGCAGGGTTTGCTGCTTGTTTCCTGTCAGCTTTTCCAAGCCACCAAGGCTTTGGGAAGGAGATGAGGGTGGGAGAGAGATGGAGGAGTGTATGTGCCCTGAGGAGGTTCTAAGGAGGTGGAGGTGATGGCACGGGGTAGGTGATGGAACAAGGTGGGGAATGGTACATGATGGGAGATGGCAGGGATGGGGGATGGCAGGCAGTGGGAGATGGCACCCAAGAGGAGGAAGCAGATGGTGGGATATGGCACAAGATGGGAGGTAGGGCACGATGGGAAGCAGCTGGAGGTGTGAAATGGCACACAACTGAAAGAACCCATGGCGAGAGGTGACAGACAACGGGATGTGATGGGAATTGACAGGAGATGGCACATGGTAGGAAAGAGCAGGCAGTGCCAGCTGTGCTGGGCAGGTAGGTAGGACCTCTGGGCACCCAAGGGGGGAGGTGGTCCCACTGCAGTGAGGGACCCCTGTGGAACCTGGTTGGCAGGCACAGCTCTGGGCTTAGCCCTCTGTGGAGGGGACCCTGTGCCAGGTCTGGGCATCCCCCAACACCAGCTCTGCTCACGTGTGGTGGGTGAGGAGAACTTGACGATGAAGGGCTCCCTGCTGAAGGTGTCGTTCCCACAGGACTCACAGCCATCGTCGTAGTAGTAACTTTCCAGCACGGAGACCATGTCCGACCTGAGGGAGGAGAGCAGGGCAGCCCCCAGCACAGCTCCTGGCACAGACAGGGCCCCTAAAGGTACCCATTGCCCTCTGGGGGTTGCTGGGGAGGACAGCAGGTGACACAGGGGACACTGGACCCTGGTGACATCCCTTACCTGTAGATGAAGAGGTACTGCTCCTTGTAGCTGGTCCGCCCCAGGGGGATGCTGACCAAAAAGCTGTAGGGCTGCCCAGAAGCACTGGGGGTGAGATGTGGAGAGGGTGAGAGGAGGCTCCTGGTGCTCCCCAGCACCCATCAGGCTCTCTCCAGCTGAGCCAAGGTGCCTTGCCATGGTGAGATGCCAGCTGGGATCCAGCCCAGCATCCCATTTGCAGTCACCCCCACCCTGTGCCATCGGGGTCACCTGTTGAGCTGGGCCATGAGCTTGTTCACAGCACTCAGGTCGGCATCCCGGACCTCCTGCACCAGGATGATGTCGTACTCTGACAGGATCTGTGGGGACAAGCTCAGAGCTGCTCGCCCCTGGCTGGGAGCTGCTCATGGGGCACCCATGGGTGCCTCAACTGGGCTGCAAAGGCTCCCAGGATGGCAATGGGAGGCCAGCAGGGCCTTTCCCTCCCTGGGTTTGCATCAGAGACCCCAAAGACCCTACAGCAGCTGTGCTGGGAGAGCAAGGGATGGATTCCCCCTGACACCCCCCTCCACCTCCCTCGCTGCCCCAGGGAGGGGGCTCCTCTGCTGGTGTTCTCTGCCTTGGAAGGACCCTGGGATCACACAGACCCATCTGTCTAACACCATCATCCCAGCAGCTGCTCCGAGGGAGGAACCTGGGCAGCGCCAAGCATTGCCCATCCTGGGTTGGGCATCAGCAAGAGTGGGGATGGCCTGAGGTGGGAGATGGTGACGGGGGATGAGCAGATGGGTGGGTGAAGGGAGGTTTGGATGGAGGGATGGATGGAGCTGTGGATGAGGGGATGGATGCCTACAGAAAGCTGGTGTCCCACTGCCCCAGGGTCAGAGTGTCCAGGCCTGCTCCTCTCCCCTGCACTCACAGAGACAATGATGTTTGCCACGGTCTGGTTGGACATCTTGGCATCCCCAAAGGCCTTGATGTTGAAGGCGCCGACCTTCAGCGCGGTGGCCACGTGCAGCAGAAGAGCTGCAGCCAGCAGGGACAGCACCAGCTTGGAGGCTGCCATCCTGTGTGCAGAGGGACGGGAAGAGACTCATCCCTCCTGGCTAGGAGAGGGTTTTGGCACAGGTGGTGGAGGTGACCAGGGTAATCCCACTGGCCATACTGGTTTCACTGGGAGGCATCTGTTCTCCAGTGAACCACCAGGATCCAGGGATTGTGCACATCCATCACGTGG